CAATCGCTTGTAGCGCGCACTTCACTCAAAAATATGGCTACGGACCCGTGCATATTATCGTTACCGCGTCGTGTTCTAGTTTATTTGGATACATACCCCTTGCCATTGCCCGCGACTTAGTCTGCGTAATTTTTTTTAAATACATTATCAGCCCATATTAGGTATTTAAAAACGTTTTGGTCTGTCTTTGTTTATTATGGACCGATATAAGAAACTTTTCTAAATTGTAGTGACATTAGTAGGGTATCTAAGGGTCGTATTCTAGAACTCTACTCAATGCTCAAGTCAGGATTTGAGTATGGTAAAAGCACTCGAAATCATACTCAAGTCCCTGCCATTAGGGTCGTATTTCCAGTGCTTGTGTTTCAATTGCAATCCTGACTTGAGCATTGAGTAGAGTTCTAGAATACGACCCTTAATGTTTCAGTATTTTTAGTCTTCATATAAAAACGTAATTTGGGGCTACACGTTCCTCCCTCGTGGGGCTGGTTGTTCCTATGAACAACTTCTCCAATTGACCTACAATCGTACCTAAATTCTTATATATATATATCGTGAAATACAGGCACATGGGGCTAGTCAACTTATGTCGCAGGGTGACGGGCGTAGTGGCAGTGCCCCTCAGATCTTTGCGATTTAAAGCTCTGAGTGGCACTGCAACTGTTATGGACAGGCGTGTAGCTTACCATCAGGTGCACGACTTGTTCGTCCCACTACTTGTAATTGTAAAAAAAAATGTTGTTCCCACGTTGTTCCACTCCTCTGTCTGTACGGTCTATGACCAACAATGCGCTCCACCAGCACTTTACGCCATATTGTTGCAATTTAAATCAGTTCACAATCAGCCATCGCGCAGTGCACTAATTTCACAACCTATCAAATGTATCATTATTAGTTGTAAATCAATACTAATAAACATTCTTAACAGTTATCATACTATTATTTGTAGGTGTATGGAACACCGTACACTGTCACTCATACCAGGGAAAATTACATGCTAAAAAAACACCATGTCATTGTTGAATTTTCATTTTATTCACAATTTATTAAACAAATACATACAGCTTGAAGTAAAATATTTACAAGTATTGTGCTTAATGCTAATGTTAAAGAAAAATAAAGGGTTATCTTAAACGCTTTTAAATCTCACTCAACCCAAAATTCCAATCAATAAGAATATCTAAGAATTTTAGTACTCTCCTCAGATGTTACGAGTTGTAGCGTAAAACAGCATTTAAATTAATTAGTAGCGGTGGAACTCCTTGTAATAGAGTTCGTCCAGGGAAGTACCTATGTGTGCCGCCAAGCAGTAATGTGAGCATTACTGCGTTCCGGTTTGGAAGGGTACTGGTGAAATTACAGGCACATGAGACTTGTCAACTTATGTATCAGGGTGACGGGTGCAGTGGCAGTAAACCTCAGATCTTTGCAATTTAAAGCCTTGAGTGACACTGCAACTGTTATAGACAGGCGTGTCAGTTACCACCGCACGATGTCTACGTCTCGTCACTTCGTATCATAAAAAATAAAATAACAAATTAGACGCGCACTTTTAACCGACATCAAAAAAGGGGGAAGTTCTCAATTCGACGGTTGTTTTGTGTATATTTCGCGATTGCTCATTTGTGATTGGTCCCATTTAAATTTAAAGAAAATATTCCACCTCCAAGGGTGACAAACTATATGAATCCGGTTTCAAGCTCTTTCCAGTAACCGATTTGCATAAAACTTGCAAATAAATGTAATTTCATTAACTATTGTGGTCGCTTTTTTTTATAAAAGAAGTTATGTTATGTAGTCGCAATTAGTGAACTAAAAATTATTGACATGCCACAGACGCGCGGCTGTCGCGCCGCTGCAGAGTATCTATAAGCATCTAATTTGAAGGCGCCTTTACGCTTTCAGTCTCGCTACTACCGCGAAAAATCAACACTAGATGTGGTCTTGGAAATCCGGAGGAAAACGAGACTTTCGAGACTATTTTCAATAATAGGTTTTCATTAGGACTTGGCATTTAAGCAGTCAAAATTTTGATCAAGTTCTCTACCACTAGTAATCCAACCCTATCACCGGTAACTTAATAACGTAATCCTATTGGTTGTTAACACCATTCCTCTCCTCTCCTCTTTGGTGGACAAGGGGCGTTACTCTGGAACCAGCAAACAACTTTGTACAGAATATCTATATCACTTCTCTATAATAGACGAATCGACTAATTTATCTATAACATGAGTGATGTCGCTAGTATCTATGTATAGTATCTACATAAAGTTCATTCAGGGAAGTACTGCCGCCACTTTATCTATTTCTGGCGCCAAGAGATAATGCGAACAATACTGCGTTCCGGTTTTGAAGGGTAAGGGTGCTAGTGAAATTACAGGGACTTATCACGCAGATCTTTGCGGTTTAAAGTGTCTCTGAATGGCACTGCTATGGACAGGCGTGTCGCTTACCACCAAGCGACGACTTGTTTGTTATGTCTACCACTATTTTTCATTTAAAAAAATCATTCTTCAAACAGGGTACCTCAGTATTGGTCCCATTTAAATTTGAAGAAAGTATTCCACCTCTAAGGGTGGCAAACTAGGGGATAAATCAAGTTTACTGGCTTTCAACCACTTTCCATCAACAATTTTCAATAAAACTTGGCAAATAGATGTAATTCCACAAACTTTTGAAGATGGCTTATTATTTTTTATAAAAAACGTACATAATCTATCGAGACAACAACAACGTGACTATTTAAAATGTCTGACACATTTTTATTATTATTATTATCTATCTATTTAAGACTCCCGTCTCTTTCATTGCCTATAAGATTAATTTTGAAGTTTATATGTCGTTAACACTGTGGTCTCATTTAAACTTGAAGAAAATATTCCACCTATAAGAATGGCAAACTAGGTTACAAATCCGGTAGTATATTACAAAATTGAAGAGTATGTGTTAGATAAAGAAGTATGGAAAGACAATAAAAGTCTAGATTCCACACAATTATGATTCAAAGTGTATTCCATAGCATTTAAATTTATTTGAAAAGAGCAATCCCTAGAGTTTCTTGCTCGTTCTTCTCAGAGTAGTAAAGGAGTAACTTAAAAAATGACGTTTGCAAGTGTAATAATTTTACCCATGGAACTACTGATTAATTGACTTGGCAAATAGATGTAATTATACATGTACTGTGGTCCTAGCATAAGAATGTTACTTTCTTAAGTTATCTCTCAGGAACACTCTGGGGCCCAAAATGTAAACTGTTCTAACACAGGATTCCCCAAATCCAAACTCCGCGTGAACTTCAGGGGAAACTTTCAAGTTGCAATTAGGGATCTGATAAAAACTATATGATATAATTATTAATACAAAGATCGAACCCTCAGAAAAAACACTCAGAAAAAATTCCTTCGATCCGGTCGGATTCGAACCGACGTC